TCTATACATTAAGGTTTTTTGATAAAAATGAAAGTTATGTATTTGTTGAATTTAGGAGTACTAGACTTCTTGGTTATTGACCATAAATTTGATACCATTTGAAACCATAAATTTGATGTTACTGTAGTAACATCTAACTTGGTTTTAAAATATGAGTATTGAACCTATAATTGTTCAGCTTGCAAATAAGGGTAATGTAGTAAAGACCATCATCCATCCCCTGATGAAAAATAATGTCACATGGTCCATTATCTAGCTTTCAGAGCAAGTATTCTTAAAATTATTTCCCTGCTATTTTGGTTAGAAACGTTTTTAAAAAGGAACAGATTTTCCTGGCTTAAGTAACTTTGTTACCTGAGACAACTGTCTTTTTTCAGTGTTTATTTTATAAGGGTATGTTACTGTTTTTAATAAGTTTTTAAAAGATTAATATTTTAGAGGGAGCATGGTAATTTTACCTATACCATAAAAGTATATTCTGAAATCTGTGGCATTAAGATTGAGAAGTCACTTTTAAATATAGATTTTAATGTCTAGAATCATTCTTCCCTAATACAGTGTTTTTTTAAGCAAGTTAATTTCAATATTAGGTACCTAAGCTGATCCCTGTGGTTTTACACAGGTAGCATTTGGTATACATATTTTAGTATTTATACATACATATGTGTAGTTACTAGTTTACTGCAATTATTAGCCTGATAATAATAAGACATTCAGTTGAGTTCAGTTCAGTTCAGTCACTCAGTCGGACATTGGAAGTATAAATAATACTCATTTGATCTACCATGATGCTTATTTGCCTATTAATAGTTAAAATGTTGCTAATGATGATATAGTACTCATTTGTATTCTTACTGGCATTTTAATACTTTCCCCTTTCTTACAATATAATATTCATGGGGGAAATTTTGAAAATACAGGGAAAAGAAAATAGTTTGAAGGAAAAAAAAACCCATTATTTAAAACCATTACTTTGAATGCTGTGTTTGTCTCTTGTCTCTTGCCTCTGTTTTCTGACTCTCTTGTGTCTGTAAGTGTGGATGTTCGTATGAAAAAACACAAATTGAAAACCGTCTAATAGAAAATACTGCTAAATATTTTCTCCTGAACTCAGAATGAATAGTCTCTATGATAACTTTGAAACAAAAAGAAACTATTAAAAATATGGACCCATTTGATTTCATTTTTTTCAAAATGCAAAATTAACAAGCAGGCTAGGAAAAAGACTTTTTTACTAAATAAGTTTCAATTTTCATTATCCTTTGTTAGCAGTTAGGACTGGATTATACCTATACTTTACCTTTTCTCTTGGTTTGTAGTTTTGTTTTAGCAAAGAATATTCTTGAATTTTTGGCAGGAAAAAAATATCATAAGACGAAGTTTTTTCTTGTCTGTTATTTTACTGATTATTCTTTAAGGACATTAGAAAAATCATTGACCATCTATAGGTCAAAACTCCATTTTAGCTTTTACTTTCAACCAATTTTGCCTCTAAAACCTGGACCAAAACTATTACCAAGTAAAATAACGTGATATTTTATCAGTAGGGACCAGTGAAATAAGCAGAAAATGGGGAATAAAGAGGAGGGCCAAAATGAACACTAATTATTTACAAATTGAATAATCAGACCTTAGTTGAATATTGACTGTGTTCATATAGCCATAGAAGTGTATGTAGAGGACTTGAGGGTGCAACTTTTAGTAGTTGGCATTGAAAATCCAGTGATTGAGTGTAGTGCTGGGTTGTTCAGAGTTAAGTACTCCTCTTGGGGATTGGTAGTCTTGTATCTATTGCTGGGATGTTATAAGGAGCAAATGTGAAAGTGTGTAAGTGGTTTGATTGCAGTTGTGGGTTTTATCCTTACAAAAAAGCAGTAGTTCTGTATTGCTTTAAGGTAAAAATCTTCAGCACATGAGCAGCAGCTTATGTTCTTCACTCTGGTCATTCCCTGGTAATTTCCTGTGATTTTGTTTGCAGAGCGGATCCTCAACCTTTGTCTGAATTTTCTGTATTTTAAAAAACTGATGAGAGATCCCCCTCTAGTGTCTGAATTATCCATTCTTAAAACATTTGTGTCAGTCATAAGAAGTTTTAGGAATTAAGCTAGCTGTGTTTTCCTTTCACATCTGGGCATGATTTTTTTTTTTTTTTAACTTTTCATTTATGGGAGAAAGGGGGGAGTTATTCTCCTTTCTTAAAAAGGTCACTAGAATTATGGGCAGGGTGTGGATTGGGGGCAATAGAAAACATGGGACGGGAAGGATCAAAATGCTATTTTTACCTTTTTAGAAATAATTATTTTTAAATAATCTGGAATAAGGTCAAACTATACAGTGTTGTTTTGTTTTAGTTTACCTTTGTTCCTGAATTAAGTGCAGCTTTAAAATACTTCATTTTGGAATTCCTGATGCTATTAGATCTCATCCTGAGTGGTTTCAGTTTCTGGAAAGCAATGGTTTTCATTGGAAAATGTTTTCAAAACAGAGCCTGATACTTTTCTGGAGTTTTCTAACTTTGTTACCTTTTGTTACTATTGTTGCCCTAGTTTTTCATATTGTTGCCATTTTATATTGTGAGTGTGTTCTAATAGCAAGTTGTCCTTTTACATAGTTCCCATTGTTTTTCAACCAAGGAAATAGGAGATTCTTAAGCTATTGGCTCTCTGCCACCTCTTCCTCTTAAACACACAGCGCTCACACACACAGGCCTTCAGTTAAGGATCTTGTGAAGGGTTAGGGAAACAGGACCTTTCTCATTTGACCCACGGGCTTTTGTAACTTGAACAAGGAAAGTAGTGTTCTGAAAGCTGCAGCATTTATGAAGGCTCTTGTAAAAATATTTCATGTACATGGACTAGAGATTAACTCTTTTCATCTCGTTCTTCAACAAATTAAACAGTGCAAACAATTTCAAGTGCTTTCTTGGTCATGAAATGCTTGAATGAATTATAATCCTAATTGCTATTGTTCATTCCCACACTGCATTTTGACACTATTAACTGCCTAACCCATGCATTCTTCAACCAGTAAGATAAACAAAAGCATTTTGAAATCTGTTATTTTGTGTCAGCTTAAATTGCAGATATGCCATTGGCTGCCTTGATTTTATTTTGGTTCCACTGTTAGCACAAATTAGGAAAAAAGTTATCTCTTTATATTTATACATAAAATTGCCAACAGAATGATTACTGGGTTTTTATAAAAAATCCATTCATTAATAGTCTTAAATTTTAAAGAGGCAATAGAGACCATGGATTTATTTTAGTGCTAGGGAAATAATTTGTATTTATGTTATCAAACTAGTGTAGCTTTCTCTGAGATTTGAAAGAAAGTAATAAAATTTCACTTTTCTACCTTAATAGGACTGAATTCTGAATGTAAACCTAGAAGCCAGATTAGTTTTGTGATTTGGCAAGTCATTTATGCATAATGGTTCCTTTAAGATTTGAACTAATACTGTTTATTAATTGAAGTATTTGTAATAAATTTGAAGTTTATATGCGAGAGATTTGAGTGCCAGTTATTAACAAACCTTCCTTACTTAAAACGTAGAACTTTTTTGATAACTGAAAAACCATATAACAAAAGTGGGGTAGATATAACTAATGTCATCGTCACATCATGTTTAGTTGTTCAGTCGTGTCTGACTCTGTGACCCCGTGAACTGTAGCCCACCAGGCCCCTCTGTCATGGGAATCGTTTCTCCAAGGCAGGAATACTAGAGTGGGTAGCCATTCCCTTCTCCAGGGAATCTTCCCAACCCAGGGATTGAACTAGGGTCTCCTGCATCACAGGCAGCTTCTTTACTGTCTGAGCCACCAGGGAAACCCATAACAGTTAGCAAATTCTCACTTTTTGACTATTGCTAAAACTCAATTTTAAGTGGACGATTTGAATTACCAAATTCACAGGCATCTGTTAAAATAATTTTTTTTCTGTAATAATTGGAGCTCTCTGTGTCAAATGAGCACTACTACAGTATGTCACATTCTCAACGTATTTATTCCTCAGAATGTCTTTGAATTCTTAAATCCATATAAGCATGAGAAATTCTTTTTTAACAACCAGATGTTTTGCCATCTCATATCGTAAGGTGCTTTTTTTCAATATTAGTTCTTATAAAAATATTACTTAACATTTTAAAATTCCAATAGGGGATATTTGCTAGACACTGTACCATGGTATACCGTTTGATATGTTACTCTTTGAGGTAGTAAATAGTATTCCTCCTTATTCCCATCTTTACGTTTAAGGAAACAATAATAGAAGTAAAACAATTTTGCTAAAGATCACAAAATAATTGTAGTCAGATCTCTCTGACTCCTAGAACATGTTTTAGACCACTGATGAAGTCTTAAGTGAAAGTTAAATACATTGTCATACAGTCTTCTGATGGAATATTATGTAGCCATTAAAAGTAAGGGTTACAGTGACATAGTATAGTGACATAGAAAATGTATGTGGTACAGTAAATGAAAAAAGGCAAGGATTACAGTTAAAATTCATAGTGATTCTAGACATCTTTAGTGTTATGTTTGATTTTTTATTGTGTTTTAATTTAAATACAATATAAATAACATTCAGCTTCTATATAATTTTGCTCTGTAACTTAAAGAATTTCTGTAAACAGGGAACCTAAGACTGAATGTAAACCAGGTCTGGTCAGCAAACTGACAAGTTAGTTTTATAATAGATTTTAGCATGTTCAATTTCCTTTTTAATTTGACCTAAAGCCATTTTCTACTGGACTTATGCCAGCTCTAATGTAATCTCTCATTTATATTCTTAAAGGCTAATGGAATAGTAAAATCTTCCTAAAGATGACTTAAATGTGTTATATAGTGTCCTAAGGGTAGCTTGTGCACAAAAGATGTTTTCTTTCCCACCCTGTAGAGGTATCTCATTAGGACATCCAGTAGTGTCATTATTAAGTTTTCATGTGTTTCTCAGTTTTGATGCTAATCTTTGTGCGTATGTGCGTGCATTTTTTTTGTCTTCAGCACCAATGTGGTTATGAATTATTCAGAGATCGAGTCTAAGGTTCGAGAAGCAACGAATGACGATCCTTGGGGACCTTCTGGGCAACTCATGGGAGAGATTGCCAAGTAAGTGATAATTTGACTCAGCAGTGCAGAAAGAATGCAACTATCTTTACCCAGAAATGTGAAATTTGCTTTCAGTTTTAAACTGTTCAACTTTCAGATATAATAAATTTTGCATATAAATCATTCAGATATCAGTGCAGGAAATTTTATATGAGGATCCATTCCTCCTAAATATTAGCTCAATAAAGTAAAACAAAATTTCTCCTTTTCAATGAAGTTTAGAGACTTTCTGTAGCTTAACTGTGTAACATTTTGACAAATGCATATAAAATGACTTAAAACTAGGAAAATTTTTTCCTGATAAACATCTAGCTGACTGTGCCACTGAATGAAGGGCTTATGAAATAGATATTAGTTAGTGGGATTTAACATGCTATATACTATATAAAATAGACATTTTTAAGGTACCATATCTACATTTTTTTTTGAATTAACCTTATTTTTTAAAGCTCTTTAGGAAAATACAATAACTTAGAACAAGCCTGCCATCTACTGTCAAAATCAACATACTACAAACTCTTGAGGAAAACTATTCTTTTTTCAGGGCTACCTTTATGTATGAACAATTTCCAGAACTTATGAACATGCTTTGGTCACGAATGTTAAAAGACAACAAAAAAAATTGGAGAAGAGTTTATAAGGTATGGGTATTAGTCTGTATTTATTACTTGACATGTGTACATACATAAGTGATTATGATGGACATTGAATCCTAGAATAGAATATTCTGAAACAGATAAAAAATTGATTTGGTATTTGAGTTGTGTTTTTTAGTCACCATAAATAGCTGTTCATATATTTGTGCATATCGAAAGTAATGAATCTATGGTAGTATCTATGTTTAGTGTTTGAGCATTTAAGATAAAAAAACCACCCTCTAATATCATTTGTCATCTCTACATAAAAATTTTCCAGTAGTATTATTGTGCACCAGAAATGTGTTATTTTTAAATATAATAAATTCTAAATCATTAAAATTCTAACATTTTAAGACTTGCAGATATGTACTCTTCTGTTAGATTCCTTTCATTTAATTCTGATCTCATCATATAGTGTAGAATTCTAAACAAGATAGTAATCGGTTCTGCCACCTCCGCTATATTTTCTTGCTGCTTGGAAAGTTTTTTATGCTTTCCAAAATATCATTATAATATTCATATATGAAACTTTAAAAGTAACATTTCTGGCTTTCAGCGTTAAAAATTAGTGGCTTTATTTAGTTCCATGTTTTTGATGTTGTTTGTTTCTGAAAACATTAACTGTCATTTCTTTAGCTTGTACAGTAGTAGTGATGAAATAGTTTAAATTCGTATAAATTAATTTTTTATAATTAGAGGGTTTTGTTTTAATAATTCTAGAGTAAACTACTTATTTAGAGAATAAATTCCTGGTCAGATAAGGGTTTTTTGTCCCTCAATTCTCCAGCCTAACTAGATTTTTGTAGGTCTAATCATTTTTATGTGAGGTTTGTTCCAAAGTTCAGAATTCATAATTCAGTGATTTTTAGTGCATTCACAAAGTTGTGCATTGTTACTACTGTCTAAATCAGAACATTTTTCATCACCTCAAAAAGAAGTTCTTAATGTTTTTTTCTCATATTTGTCAGCAGCAAGTTTTTTAAACAAAAGCCACATCACAAACCTCCCAAGTTAAATTTTATCTGGAAAAGTGCTGTGAGATCATATAATTACCAAATAATTATTTTCTTAAAACTAATGTTTCTAACAGTAAAACTGAATCAGCTTTCTGAAAGCTTAGTGTTCATTTATATCATACATTCAGATATTTCCTAACATCTAATTTTTTAAATCTTTTGACACATGTATCCAGTGGACAGTTTATAATTATTTATTATGCTTGGTGTAAGGAACTCTCAATTGAAAATATGAGGTTTTAAATGTACTTAAAGTCTAATGTATGGTAAAGAATGCCCTCTCCCCCTCCGCCACACACACACACACACACACACACACACACACACACATATTATTTATTTGCTGTTAGTATTTTTTTTTAAGCTATTTACCAGAGCTCTACCAGAATTTATTTCGTTAAATCATTTGGTGCTTTGTATTTTTACAGTCATTGCTGCTCCTAGCTTACCTCATAAGGAATGGATCAGAGCGTGTTGTTACAAGTGCCAGAGAACACATTTATGATTTGCGATCCCTGGAAAATTACCACTTTGTAGGTGAGCAATAGAAAAACCTTATAAGCAAATTAAAACAGTAGTTGGAGTTGTCAGTCACCTGAACCAGCTTAGAAGCTTCTCTGCTCTAATTAGAATGTGACTGTTGCTGGTTGTGTGACGAGTGCAGAATCCAAGACGTGGGGCCCTAGAGTATTAATTAGTGAAGACAAGAACTTGCAGAAAAGACTGGCTAATAACAACAGAACCAACACAACATGAGTGTTCGGGTTTATATTAAAATATGCACTGGAGACTGGTCCCCTGTGGTGTCCATAAAGGAATAGCTTTAATCATATGGGAAAAAAAGGTTAGAGCTCCAAAACACACACATCTGTTTGAAGCTGGGGTTTTTTTCCTCCCACCAAATAATATTTACTGTGCAAAGGCAGCAGGGCCAGAGTGTGTTCTGAATGTGAAAGAGGACACAGAATGAACCACATTTCATTTTGTAGTGTACCCCAGTTGAAAGCATTTTAAAATTTCAGTTTTTCAGCTATACTAAATCCTGGTAATTAGTGTTTCCAAACTTGTATTGGGGAGAGGAAGGCATTTAGGTGCTTTTCAGTCATTAAAATGTAGATTTTGTTTTGTTAAAATACTATAGAAAGAGAAAATAACATTTTTGGATATTAGTCCATTTTTGCATGGTTATTGTTAGTAATCCTTTTTAATGGATCTTTAATTGATTTTGCATAGCACCATTATCTGTGGTCCTTTTTAGTTCATTTCTCTTATAAGCCAGAATTGCATCTCAAGACTTCGGATTTGATGAGGAAATGACAAAATTCAGTAACACAGTTTGCTTCTTTTTATTAATTTAAAAATATTGAAGGTGGTTTGTTACATTGAAATTTTCATGTCTTTGTGTGTGTGTTAAAAAGTTTAATACATATTAACTGAATTCTTAAGGTTTTGTTTCTCCCTTACCATCCTCACAGATGAGCATGGCAAGGATCAAGGTATAAATATTCGCCAGAAGGTGAAAGAATTGGTTGAATTTGCCCAGGATGATGACAGGCTTCGTGAAGAGCGAAAGAAAGCCAAGAAGAACAAAGACAAATATGTTGGGGTTTCCTCAGACAGTGTTGGAGGATTCAGATACAGTGAGTATCAAAGACAGATGAGCACCTGAACATCAGTTTAGCTTCTTGGGTATATTTTAAGAATCACAGAAGACAAAAATGCTATTTTGAATATATATGATACTAAGACATATGTAATATTCATTTTGTTTTCCTTTGGATCCTGTGAATCTATTTTTTTACTTTTGTAGTTCAAGAATATTATTTTAATTATTAAGCATTATTAAATGACCAAACTTTGAGTTGACATACAAAGAATAAAATAGATATATGTCCTTTCCTCTTGGAGTTCACATTCTAAGAAGAAATGGATTCCGCTAACTTAACCATTTAGAGCATTAAAAAGAAGTTTGATCAGGAGATTCATTCTGCTAATTTGAAACCAGTTTAGTTATATTTTTGGTTAAAAATAGAGCTGCAAGTTAGTCCATCCTTAATTCCCTTCCTTAATTAAGCACTGTGTTAATTTGATGTGGAAAAAGGTAACAGTACCATCAATTTTTCATCTAGGCCTGTCACATATATGTTCTTAATGTATTTAAGGACAGCTGGAACATTCATCTCTCATGTTTATTTTTAATGTATAATATAGTTTTCCTAAAATGGGTCACTAGGTAGGTGCTTGAAACAGATACAGAAAGTAAGAACTTTGTTTCACAGCATGTTCTTTGGACTCCTTCTGAGTGCTGAGAGTCCCTTGCCATTTTGTGTAAGGGACTGACCAGTGCTTTGTATCCTTAGCAGCTGCATATTGGAACTCTTTAACCACCCACAACCATAGCTGTTTTTTATATTTGAATTTCACTGAAATCTCGTGATTCTTCATTTTAAACATGTAAAAATCTTCTGTTTCTTACTTTGTGAGTGTCTACAAAATATCTTCACTCTTTTGCTCCTCTGCTTTTCTTGCCATTAAAGAAAAAGTACTGCACTTAATAGGCTAATGTTTCTAATGGCAGAAAAATTCATTTCATGTCTGATATCACATGTCAGTTCTTGAATTGGCAAAAATGTTTCTCTTAAATAAATCACATAAGTATGTTTTGGAGTTCTTGTTTAGGGAAGTAAGAAGTCTTTTAATTTTTTACCCACATATTCAATAGATACTCTAGATTTTTCAAGGTGGCTTTAGCAGATCAATGTGGTTTTTAGCCGAAATAGCTATTTGTCACTCCTTTCCTCATTCTACTTGCTAGTAGTCCTTTTTTAAATCAGCACCATATATAATTAGATGCATTTAGACAATTGAAAAAGTTTTTTTAGACTTCAGAGTGAACTAATTACAGCATTTGCGTTAGAGATAGAATTCAGTGTCCTGTGTATCTGCATAGCTTCTTTTGTAAGTTGTTTTTAATGCTATATGTATTATTCAGAGACTTAAGTAGTCAACTTTAATTATTTTACATGGTTTTCATTTTGACATTAGAAAATGTCTTACCAATATGCAGTCTCTTTGACACTTCCTTAGTATGATGCTTACCATGCTAATCAGTTTAGTTTTCATGTGCTTTTTTCATTTTTTCCTGTAAACTTGTTTTTTTCAATGCCTGGTTCATCACATTGTTACTGAAGTGTACATATACATTGTTGGAAAGCTATTTGCTTTTATAATACCATCCTGACTTAAATTTTGTTTAGAAAACATTTTGTCATGTTCTCTTTAAGTTGGTGACCACTTTCAGATTTAGTAGACATATTTTTAAATCCTCAAACTCTTACAGAAAATTTTGCTCTGTAGTTTTACTTAGTAATTCAACAAAATGGTTTTGTTCAGTCTCCAGTGGGCGTGTATGCCATTCAAACTTATTAACCAACTTTTAAAATAAAAGCTCAATTATCCACTTTGGGATTATTTTGCTGTTTCTCATTGGTCTTTCCTTTTTCTCTGCACCCTACCTTAGTTTTCAGTCTTTTCTTCTTTTTAGCCTCATGTGATTTCTCCAACATTTTACTCTTGGCTCTTAAGTTTGGACGTGGAAATGGAAAAGGTTCCAGTTAGTGCCTACAATTCCTATCTCTCCTCTAGGCCGTCAAGGACAAGGACTAAAACAGATTTGGGGGCTTTTTTCTGCTGCCAGTGATCTACTGACTCAATTCACAAATTCACACAGAGGCTCCCTAGGTTTTGCCAGTCCCAACATATGTTTGGACTTGGTGTTTGAATAGATCATCACTGTTATGAACCGCTTGAGCATATTTCATCATTCTAGTCTGTATAGTTTTTGGTAGTTAGAATATTCTTTTCTTTTTAAAATAATTGAAAGGTGCTTTCCCAGGCGATGAAATACATTTATTTTTCTAGTTTTGATAGTAAAGAATGACAGTTATGAGTCTTTATATTGAGATATGTAGCATTCAGAATAGTGTTTCCTATAGTTTGTGTCTTTTAAGAGATTGTTGCTGTCCAGATACTTTTCTAATAATTGAAAAACCATTAAGAGATGAGAATGAAATATAATGCAATAAGTGACTTCTGTAAAAATAAAAAGATTTCAAGACTTCCCAGGCAGTCCAGTGGTTAAGACTCTGCCCTTCCATTGCAGGAGTGCAGGTTCCATCCCTGGTCAGGGAACTAAGATCCCACATGCCTCATGGCCAAACAAACAGAAAACCCCACAAAACCACATAAAAACAAAAAGATTTCCATTTCTCTTTTGCTTATACAGCCTGTGTTGGTTTTTGTATTTTCTTCTACTCCTTTCAGCAGCCCTTAAGAACTTCCGGATATGCTGTGCTTTGCATTAAGGTTGTGTAAGTTTTCATAAACAAAAGCTTTTGAATCTGCATTCCTGCCACTTAATGACTGGCACTACATGCTGTGCCTTGCTGTAATTGTGTTGATTCAGCACTGTGGGAGCTTACTGTTTTCCTTTGGAAACTTATTTTATTATGAGGAAACCTTCAGAAATAAGGACTATAGACCCCTTTTGAATTTAATGTCCTTAGAATCACTTCTCTTTTTAATGCTTTACATAGGTGAAAGATATGATCCTGAGCCCAAATCAAAATGGGATGAGGAGTGGGATAAAAACAAGAGTGCTTTTCCATTCAGTGATAAATTAGGTGAACTGAGTGATAAAATTGGAAGCACAATTGATGACACCATCAGCAAGTTCCGGAGGAAAGATAGAGAAGACTCTCCAGAAAGATGCAGGTATTAACACTTTGTCTCCTGGGTCTCTCAGAAAGGGTACTAAATTTATGCAGTTGGGTCTTGGGTTTTTTTGTTTGAGTGTTGACATTATCTGAAATTCAGCTTTTGTTGTTTGTTTATTTAATGGATTTTATTTTTTAGAGTACTTTTAGTTTCATAGAAAAATTGTGCCTAAACTACAGGGAGCTGCCACATAACCCCACCTCTCTGACTACAAGCGTGCGCTCACACACACACACACACACACACACACACACACACACACTTTCTCCTGTTACTAACATCTTGCATTCGTCTGTACATTTATTAACAATTGATAACCAGTATTGTTAACTAAACTCTTGAGTTTGCATTAGGGTTCACTGTGTTGTACAGTTGACAAATGCATAGTATCCACCATTACAGAACCACGTAGAGTAGTTTCACGCCCCTAAAAGTGCCTGTGTGAAAATATGGAGTAGTTTGTGAACTGTTGCCCTTGCACAGGGACACACTATGCTAGTTCCCCAAGCAAGGACTGAACCCGGGCCGTGGCAGCGGAAGTGCCGAGTCCTGACCACTGAATGACCAGGCAGTTCCCAGGGCATGCAGATTTTCTCTGTTGTTCCAGTTTCCGTATATGCTGACGTAGGCATATATTGTGTGTGTGTGTACATATAGACACAGTGTAGCTGTTTGTAAGATGCTAGATCAGACATTGTTTGCACTTAGTATTGGCACATTTTCCTTCTCTATGTCCATTTATTTCTAAATTTGATCACATTTCCTATGTTTTTATTCAGGCTATTTAATTGGATTTTTTTTTTCCAGTAAGAACTTTGATGGTTTATTTTGTACTTAAGCATCTGATGATCCAGGGACCTAAGGTATTGCTGAGGGATAATGAAGTTTAGTATACTAGGTTTAAAACAGAAGTTAAGGGATTTGAAATTTAATTCTTTCTGTGACATTTCATTTAGATTCTGTGTCACTGTATACCAGAAAAAAAAAATCCAGATTGATTTTTGAGCTAAAATATCTTCACGTATCACCTGTATTTTTATAGATTTTATTTTCTGATGGGGTATTTGTATTTAGTTTTACATAAAATAGTACTTGGAACTTCTTAGCATTCACTTTTTGTTCTTACCTATCAGTATAGCTATTAATTAGTCTTTCTGCCAGTTAAGAGGGTAATATATATAGCATTTAATTTGCAAAGCAAGTTTTATAAGATCTTTGTCATTTGTGTCTCACCATATTGCTAGTAGGTAGTCTAGAGCAAGGATTTTACCCTTATTTTTGGAAGTAAAACCTGAGGCCCAGTCATCTGTGTGGAACTTGCCTATAGTTACACAGAGATGCAACCACAACTTCAAGTGAGTTCATTTAACTTAAGTACCATCTCTTTTTCTCTTATTAAAAAAACTCTTTGACAGTTCAGATTAGGGGTCATTAAAAAGAAATAAAAATACAATTTTGAAACTATTAAGGTTCATCTATGGAATTCCTGTCTATTTATGGAATATGATCTTTGAAGAACCAGAATTTATTTTTAATAGTTTGAATATATTTTACAACTAGATTTCTAACTCTTTTATACTGAAAGTATATGCATATAGTAATAATAAATAATTGAACTTTGGAAAATGATGCCTACTTCAAATACTCTGTGGTATTTTGCCCTCATTAGTGTTCTTGTGGCATTAGCATTTACATTTTTGGTTTGATTTAGAAAACACAATGGCCATATACTCTCTTGCTATATCCTAAAGAAGTATGACAATCAGGTAGGTAGGCTGTTAACAGATTTAACTATGTACATTCTCGTTCTATTACTTTCTCTTTGCCCTCCACACTCAGTGTTTCTTTGTTTTGCTTTGTCTTCCTATTCTTTCTTTTTCTGTTTCTCCCTTGATTTTTTTTTTTTTTTTTACATTTGCCTCTAAGACAGGATCTGTTAGAGTTCCTAAATCTTTTATATAGAGTATTCAGGTTTAAAAGAGTGAAAATTCAGTATGTGTTGTTTGTTTTAGCAACTAAAGAGCACACTAGGGACTTTATATCTTGGAGTATTTGTGAGAGAAGAATGGATTTTTAGACAAAGTTGCATGGGACCTCTTTGGCATTTGTTATTAGAATTTCATACTTTTCGTTCATCATTAGATTTAGAAATTCTTGAACACTGATCATATATGAAGCTTCCATTTCATTGTGTGCTAGTCAGGTTTCTGTTCTCACCTTGTAAAGAAGTTATTTTGCACTTGAATCAAATTGAACATGAGAAAGGTAAGAAATTTCAGTTTTAGATACAGGACTGATGATGGGAATCTTTAGGTCATTTGTTGCTGAGAAGTTAGTGACAAGGGCTTTTGAATACTTAATCAGAACTAGTAGATTCCTTAAAATGCTTGTAGATAAAAACACATTTAACCCCTTTACTCAGTGTGAGAAGTCATTCTTCTTGATTCTTGATTTATACAGGCTCCAAATTGATTTATATTTAAGTAGAAATTGCTTTAGTCTTAGTTAATTTGCATCAGTAATAATACTTATATGAGGATTTTAAGTACTTTATTTCAGAATATTTATAATTTAAACCACCTACTCTAAAATTAAGAAATAAAGGTAATGGAACATATTTTAGGTAATTTCTCTCTGTCTTGCACCAGGAAAAAAACCCTCAATATGTCGTTACTGGAGAATACATTATTGCTGACGTTTTTAATTCATGGCATATGAAATATGCAGTTTTTTACTCATTCTGTATTTTTATTTTTTTACTTTCACACTGTTAAGGAAAAGAAGTTTTTTTTTTTTTTAATGTGCTGGAAAAAATTATTTCAAAACATTTAAAATACATTTAAATTTTCTGTAGAACAGTTTTCATAGTTTTGTAAAAGTTTGATCTCCTGATTCTATAAAATAGAGCACAGTTGTTGTAAAGTGCATTATCTCCTTTTTCTGCATTTACAGATGAGAGTTTAATCATTTGAATTCAGATAGGATGATATTTAGAAGATATCCATTGAAATTATAGTATTTTATTATATATTTGCTTAGTATATGGGAGTCACTGACAGAATTATCTTATATAAATAACACAAAATCCATTACAGTTGTTTGAGCTCCCAGGGTCTCATTAGTTGATTCTGATAGGATAATAATTGTGCTATTTTATTTTTTAATTAAACTTTAAATCTATAATAATAATCACCTGAATTATTTCAGGCTTTTTTTATTTGTACACATTTATGTAAATGCTTTTTGGTAGCAGTGATTTAGTCTTACCTGGGGAATTTGATGGGTTCCTACTTCCCCTCCCCAGTGCACACATATGATATTCAGATAGCTTAGATAACATTGTCTTGATCATGTCAAATAAGTCAAAGTACAGAATTTTGGAGTGACTGCATTTGAAATTCTTTAACTCAAATCACTGAAGGCTCCATTTAAAAATAATCCCTTGTCTTATTATTTTCCTTCATTTTTAATATCTTTTAGTGACAGTGATGAGGAAAAGAAAGCAAGAAGAGGCAGATCTCCCAAAGGTGAATTCAAAGATGAAGAGGAGACTGTGACGACAAAGCATATCCATATCACACAGGCCACCGAGACCACCACCACAAGACACAAGCGCACAGCAAACCCTTCCAAGACCATTGATCTCGGCGCAGCAGCGCATTACACGGGGGACAAAGCAAGTCCAGATCAGAATGCTTCAGCTCACACACCTCAGTCTTCACTTAAGGTGGGAACGGCACGAGGTTACACATTATACACAATTTTATTCTTAAAAAAGTACTTTTAGATTTATTGCATTAGCAGTCTCAGGCATTTCTAGGTAATCTTATTAATTATAGATCATCTGGCATATATTATTCAGTCATTAATAATAAGAAATCTCTTTGGAGGAAGAAACCTGTCCAGTTGCTGAATGATTATCTATGCACTTTCTGTGAAAAATAGTAATGACACTCTTGGTTCATTTGGGAAAAGTTGTGAATCAGAATGTAGTGCCTTTATTTCCTACTAGACACTACCACTGATACCAAGTGCCAGATTCATTAAGGAAAACATGGTAGTGTTTGGAAGTTGTAAGAAATGACAGTGTGTATATATGACAAGTTGATATATAGGGGAAATGCTCTTATTTAATACAGGGATGGTGCCTGTGATGGGAGGTTAATTTGCTTTGTGGTCAGTATTGATCAGTAGCAGCATTACTTCATGTACTGTCATCACTTTTTTTTTCCACCAAAGAAATGAAATCCACTTGCCAGATACCTGACTGCAAGCTAGACTTTTGGGCAGAAATCTGCCAAAGAGGGAGGTTTACCCCGAAAGGCTAAATAGTAGTTTTGTTACTGTACCCCTGCTAGTGTTCTCCCAGTTTGTATCTTCTCATCAAATGTAGCGTACGGAAAATATTTTGCTAATGTATTCTGTGAATTGCAGGTGGCTCTAAAAATAAAGCTAGTCCTACTTAGTGGCAAGAACTGTGTCAACTTTTCCCAAATATTTTCTGGTGTTTCCCTCATATTGTCCTTTTTATAGATTTGATGAAAACCTCAAAATTCAAAATTATAACTAAACTTTAGTTGCAGTTAAAAGGGGGAAATGGCACTGTTATTTCGTTGTGGTCTTAGCTTTCCCCTGCTATGAATACAGTTAGTTTACTGATGACTCTCTAAGATTTGGTAGTCATACTTAAAACCCCAATACATGATGGTTGTCATATGGAGAATTCATTTAAGGTTGCATGAGGAAAATCATTCAACCTGTATATTTTTTTTAAACAATAAACTGAAACTTTTTTCATCTTAAAAGATTTTAAATATCAATTTGTTGTACAGCCTGAATGTATGTCACACCAAAAATATTTTATATTTGTAGTATAAGCTTTTTGACTTTCTTTTACTGCCGAACAGATGTTTTGAACTCTGAAGTTCTTGAAAAGTTACTCAACCACTTCAGATATCTTTGAATTTCAAGGCCTTTTTGAACCACAGTATACAGTGTTTTAATCTTCAAACCTCAATTAACATGCCTACTTAATTTACAGTGTGTCCCTGTTGCCAGCACTTTTGTTCTAATTTAGAGTGTTTGTATTGAACATGTTGGACCTATGTATTCGAGTGTTTAGGACTATGGAGAAGAGAGAAATTACATTACAACTCTAGGCCCACAGTTTCATTTGGAAACTAAATATATATGTCAAGCTATATCAAACCAATATAGAATTATACTGACAAACATGATATACAAACAGTGTTGCTAAATTTCACAGAGTCTTAAAATTTTAGAGTTGGATAGGATCTTGGCCTCCAATCCAGTAGATCTCAGACGTTCTTACACATTGAAATTATCAAAGGAGCTTTGTAAGACATTACAGACCAGGATCCCACCCTGGGCAATTATGATTCAGCATATTGTGATGAAGCTGGGCATATATATGTATATGTAAATGTGTGTGAATATATATATATAAAATATGTGTGTGTGTGTATGTGTGTATGCTTCTCAAATGATTCTGCATTAATATTTGCGTGGGATCTGGAAGTTATCTTTTTAGGTAGTGAAATACAGTAAGAAAAGAATTGAGAAAGTAACCCAGGAGTAGTGGCCAGGCCAAACTCATCTGATTTCAGAAAAGAAAGGAGTTAGGGGAAAGAGGAGTGTAAGTTAGGAATAGAATTACTTAAAAATACCTCTTTAAAGGGATTCAAGTTCACTTTTCTTTTTTCAGTAAAGGAAATCTACCTTTATTCAGATAATTACAGGTTTTTGTGTCTAAGTTGAGAATTAGAGATGAGTAGAGCAGATTTTTTTTTAAATAGTAGAAATTAGTTTCCTAAGCTTATTAGTTCTGTGTCTGTTTCCAGACTTCAGTGCCTAGCAGCAAGTCATCTGGTGACCTTGTCGATCTGTTTGATGGCACCAGCCAATCAACAGGTAAGCTTCGACGTCGGCTTTTTGTTGGTTTCAGAGTAAATTTTTTTTACTGGTAAATAAGAGATGGAATGAAAATGTTTAAAAAATTTTTCTTACAGTAGATTTACTCTTAAAGTGAAATTAATGAGCCTTAAGCATTTTTTAGGAGGAAATGTTTAATTGCCTAAAATAAGGAAAACGAGTACTTAAGTATTTGATAATTCAGTAATCTCTCAATTTCCTTAGAACTGAGTATTTGGGGTCCCTTTGCTTTCTCTATAAGTGAAATATACTGCTCTTCTCATTTCACTGTCTTTTCATATTCTCAAATTAACCATGCCTAGAGTTCATTTACACTTTTCATTCATTTATTCAGTAAACATTTATTGAACCAGACACTGGCCTGGGTGCTTGAACATTGATATAATGCTTAGTAAAGAGTCGCAAATAGTTACAGACATACAGAGGAAAGGCGCATTCTGTGAAAGTGTGTAACTATCTTACATATTTTAAGAGGGCTCTATATCAAAAGAATAATAGTCCATTCACCATGATTTTCTCACAGAGAAGTTCAATGATTTCTTCAATTTTATTTAATGTGTGGTAGTTTTTTTTTTTTTTTTAACTTATCCCCTATAAGTTGTTTTCAAGAAAATTGGTATTTTAGAGTTGCATTTGAGGATTGTGGAGTCATAATAAACTACTATAAGTCAAAATAGCTTAATAAATAAAACTTTGTTTAAAGTTCATTTCACATTAAAATATAACTGGCAAGATAGGCATAGAAATAATGTCAAAGTAAATCTGTTGTTTCTAGTGTGTAATGGTTTTTCAAAACTTATTTTAAAATTTACATTAGAGTTTAAGTGGACATTTATGATGAAAATTACTTCTCATTGATAGTTTACTACATGTGATTAATTTATTTTAATAATTTATAGTGGGATTATTTTCTCCCACTCCTTACCTACTACCATAAAATTAATTCTTAGATTGGGTGTTGACTTACTAGGGTGTTTGGTTCAAACCAATTTCTGAGATTCTTCAATTCCCAATCTCTTTCTATAACTATAACTGTTCCTAAAAGTATTCTTTAAACTCTATTGAACTGTCATGCCCAAAGTTACAAACAACCACATTAGTTGTTTAACAATTTATGTGCTGTCTTTTTGTATGCTGAAGATTTTAACTGTAGTATTAACTGGTAGTTAGCATGTAATCATATAATAGAGACTTAGTGTCACAGAATATCAACTATTTTGGACTTCCTGGTATGAAATATTTAAAAGCCCCTTTGATGCATCTGTGGAAAGTTTGAATGGAGCAATCAGAGAAGAATTAACTAGGAGGGTCAGATGAGTGAATCTAACTTTTCCTTGGTGTTATCAGGATTGCTTTGAACAGAGAGAATTACTAAATACCAACATGCTTCCTTTGCTTGGCAAGAATCCTTTGAGTTGTTTTTCTTTTCCAGTGCTAACAGTAGATTGACTAATTAAATAGAAGTAGCAGTTAATATTAATACAGTAATTGAGACAAAGTCTGAATGAAATCCGAAATATTTCTTGTCTTAATTTTTTATTTTAATATTTTCTAAAAACCATCTGATAGTGGGTTGACAACCTAATTACTTTTTACAGTTCTCTTCTATTTGAAACAGTTTGTTTAACCAGTTTGTGCAGAACCCCCTCCATTCAATAAGATGAATTTCATTACCATGAATTTCTATTTAAATATTTTTAGTAGTAAAACATTTTAAATTGAATTCAGCAGTAGAAAAAAAAATTGTATTTTAAATCTATAACACCTATATATGAGAAAGTCTTAAAGAATCTACTATACTAGCATTGCTGTTTGGTATGCCATTTGGGTGTCATTTACCAGATGTGCCTATGTTTATAATGGTGCCATCATGCAAGTAATATGGGCATGAACTGTAAACCTAAGCAAATATGACTTCTGTACCACTCACCAGAAAAATATCTCCTTGGAGAAAATGGATTTTCTTTTTTTATGTGTGGTTACATCCTTCTTGTTAGCATCTTTAGAAGTATTATGTGGTAAAATCATTGTGGAATATCAACCAAGTTTAAAAATACACATATGAAACCCATTTATCAAGATTTATTTGAGACTGTCTTGATAAATATCCCACTCTGGTGATGTTCTTTTAAGGTCTGTACTCAAATGATATTTTGATGACTTTTATGTATGGTATATTTACTGTATTTAGAAAATAAGCCAATTACAAATATAATGCCAAGAATCATTCTGTTTCATTTTTTAGTATATCTTATCCTAAAAGTTTACGTTGTCTCCTTTGTCCCTTTTGTAATTAATGAATTTAGGTCTTGATTAACATACTACTCTAAGTTATTTCTAGTACAATTAATGAGGTTGAAGAGAAAATGGAAAGACTTTACAAAGCTTGCAGTATGTTTTGAATTTAAAAAGTATATAAGATTAACATACATCAAATCAAAAATCTTCACTATATATACATTTGAACCTGTTGCTCTGTATCCAGTTAGTTAGTTGAGGATATTTACATGGATATGAACTACCTTGTTATAGCCAAGTTACTGGTTGTTACAAACCAATTTAAATATTCGAATTCTATGGGAGTTGTCTCTAGTTTAAACCAAGTTTATTAAAAATAAAATGTTTTACCATATTCTGTTTTCACTAATTAAAAGTAATGTATGCTCATTTTAGAAATTTTATGGAAAAAAGTGATTCACTGTAACTGAGATAAAGTTAACTGTTAGTAATTGGGGTGAATATTCTTATTTTATATATTCTATATAATCAAGTCAGTATATTTAAGCATTATCTTTCAAATCTTTTTCAGGCTCCTTAGATAAAGATTTTTATTATTATTACAATTTTTGTAATTTATTTTTCACTTAAAATCACATGACCATTCCTTAACGATAGTTGATATATGCAGACCTTTAATTCCCTTATAATCTTAACATTATCTAAATATGCTGTAATTTACTTGACTGGTCAGCATCTTATTTTTTGGACATTAGGTTTTGTTTCCAAACTTTTCTCTGTTATAAGAGTAGTGAAATGATATCTTTGAAAATATTGCATTTTGGTAAGGAGAAAAATATTTCATTTTATTTTGCCTGTGTTTGATGACTGAATTTGAAACTCTTCATGTTTTATATGCCAGTTGTAACTTGTCTGTTCATTTCCTTTGTCCTTTTTTTTTTTTAATGGGGTTGTTTATCCTTATTTTTTAAAAAAACTTATATTAGTTATTCATCATATATTCATAATTTTTTGCATTTTCATCTTGTATTTATTAAAATTCCTCTTGCAAAAGTTTTCATAATATAATCTATATTAAATTCTTTGTTAAAGAAAATGTTCATTTGTAGTTAAAGCACTGTCTAGTTCAGCTATGTTTTTTCTGTTCACAGTATTGCTTTGGAAATACATGTTCCCAGCTGGTGACTGTAAATAACCTCCTTTTGCCCTGAAAAGGCAGATGGAAATGGTTCATTTATAATGACACCTCTCATGTGGGAATCTTGAAGGATAGCTCTTATTGTGAAATTTAGCAGTCTTCCCCATGCAGCAATTTTTGGTAGATTATTCTTATTTAAATTCCCTTAGATAGATGTTATCTAGAAAAATGCTTAAATATAGAAATTTTGTTAAATTTAAGCATTGGTATGCATAACATCACACATATAGGTATGGATAGTCCCTTCTCAGAGTGAGAAGCTTTTCTAAATGAAATAAGAGATTTTTAATTTCTGAGATAGTTTCCAAAGTTGAGGATCACATTATGTAAAACATAAATAGAAACATAATCTTCAGTATTTCAAAAGATGGAGAAAAGTTAAATCCCTTTCAAGGAAAGGTGGCTTCTATCTGTAAAATATTTATATGTGTGTTTCTACTCTTTCCCTTCCAGTGTTCTTAAATTAGTCATATTTGAAATTAAATTCCCTATAGTATGGTTGGAGAAAATAATATTTGCTGTAGACACATTATGAACAGAGTATAATTTTAGTTTAGGTGTTAGAAGGTAGAGCAGTAGAATAACTAAAACAGATTCTCACTTGAAATCTTAAATTCAGGATGTGACAAAAATAAAATATGTCACCAGTGTGAAGTTACGATTTCACATTATTCAGTGCTTTTCTTCACAGCATGAATTTTCTTTGTAGCCTGGACTGGATAAGATTTGAAAATCCCTGACTTATTTGGCTTAATAAATTACATATTGATATCTATTCACTGCTTAGATGAAGAAAATGAAAATAATCCCCAGCTTTCTTTTAATAATCCCTTAATGCTATAATAAAAGATTATCTTTCTGTTACCTAACTGTATGTACTTGGATCATATGTGCTTGTTTATATAGTTTAAAAATATAGCTCACTGATCTTTTGTAACCATCATCTTTTATATATATTATGACATATGTACCTTTAGAGAGAAACCATTGTGATATTTATCTTTGGATAGAGCAAAAGTTGACATGTGAGCTGTAATTGTTGCTCAGAGTAGAGAACCTCGGCCTTCATGGAAGTTAGTTCATGGTGAATGGGTATATATGTGAATATGTGCATCTATTATGAGGTGAAGAAATGAAGAATTCGTTAGACCTGCTGATAGTTGACTATAGTAAATGTGCACTAAAAAGAAATACCAAGTATACATGTATCAGAAACTGATTTGTTCCTTTTATTATTGCTGGCCATTTATTAAGAAGGGGCGATGGTTCTAGTTTAATTAACCCAGTTGAGTGTAGCAGATGGGGCAGAATGTCTTGCAGTGATAAGACAATTCAGAAATGGCACCAGATGTTGGAAGCTGTCCCTGGTGGTGTTTGAGTGCAGCCCAGATGTTCCAGTCCCACCTGGCTAGTTTCTAAGCACTGCAGGCTAAGCAGCTGTGATGTAACCTATATAATGTTCACATAACACTAAAAGCACTATAATTGAACTGCCGCTCTAAATTTCTAAGGTTGTGACTCTTTTAAGAGGTGAAATCTTTAAGGACAAACAAAAAACAAGGACAGCTATTTAAGGTTTAAATCCATTGACTATTGCTATTTCCTTGGTAACTGAATTGAGAAGTGGAATATAAAATTTAACAATGTTACTGTTCAAATTATACATAAAAGTAAATATTCTTACTTAGGAAGTGTTTACAAGTGAAAATTTGTATGAGAATGTGATGTTATGCAAGCAGAGATTGACCTGTAGCCTTACGATATGAATCTCACCTCTTTAGAAACACCAGTCTGGAAGTAGCAAAAAGCTACTATTTTTTCAAATATTAAAAATGCAAGTATTTGCAATAGTAGGAGGAAGAAAGTCCACCTAAATCATTGCATTCATTCTTTTTCCTGTAGTTACTAAAACTGACTTCTATGCAGATCAGCTTCAAGTTTGGTTTTTTCCTGTTTCTATTTTTTTTAATGTCAAGCTGCAGAAAATGTGTCACATTTTCTTTCTCTTTCTAGTTTTTTTTTTTTTCTTATTATACACTGAGAGAGAATTATAAGCATTGTGACATTTTACCCTAAAATACTTGAGTGTATGTCTCCTTACAACAAGGACATTTTCCATCATAATCATAATGATCATACTTCTGGAATTTAACATTAAAACAGTATTACTGTATAATAGACCATATTCACATTTCCCTGGTATCTCAGTTACATCATTTCATGCATTTCATTTACTTGTCATGTTCCTTTAGGCTTCTTTAATCTGGAGTGGTCCCAGTCATTTTTGTCTTTTATGATGACATGTTCTGAAAAGTCTGGAGGGTTGTTTTGCAGAATGTCCCTCAGTTTGTATTTGTCTGATTTATTCCTCATGATTGGATTCTGGTTAAATATTTTGGGAAAGACTTTCTACATTGGTGATGATCTCTTTTTTTAGTCCCTTACATTAGAAGGCCTATGAGTACTATTTTCTCCAATTATTAGTGACATTAAGTTTGAGCACCTGACATTGTTTAAGATGATATCCATCTAATTTCTTCATTGTAAAAATAGCTTCATCCCTTTTTATTTATAAATAATCTGTAGGGTGATGATTTGAGAATATCATCTTATTATCTTATTACCCAGAAACATGTTTCCCAGGTTTTAGCATCCATTGAAGATTCTTATAAAGGGTGTGATTAGCCAGATAAACTGTATGCCTACATTAGGTTTGTGAAGTGTAAGTAAGGGATAACTTTAATAACAGTTGTATCAATCAGTAGATATAGAACTGAGGATGTTAAGAGAGTCAGTGATAGCTTAAAGGGAACATGGTGGCATAAAAAGCTAGATCAGCTAACTAGCTTTTATGATAGGTCTTGGGGTCTAATATATTGAGTAATTTTTGAGTACTGTGCTAAAATAGCTTCCTAATAAAACTGCTATCAATTGAGCTGTGGTCCTAACAATTTGTCCCTCATATTTAATTTCTAGGAGGCTCAGCTGATTTATTTGGAGGATTTGCTGACTTTGGCTCAGCTGCTGCTTCAGGCAACTTCCCTTCCCAAGGTATGATATGATTTGACTGGCCAGAAATCTAGAGGCAGTGAAAAGGTTACCAAAACAGCTCTTCCGCACCCTATTCCCTATCTGCTTCTTTTGGCCATTTTTCTACTTGTAGTATTTGTAATTCCCAATTATCAAAGAATTTATTCACAAAGGTATTGTATTAGGCTAGTAACCTAAATGTGCCCAGTGAATTAATTTCATTGCAAACTACTCAGGTACACCTAAATAAAATTCTCCTCACTCATAAGTGACTCTTGTTTAGTTTTCTTTGGATGGAGAAAGTGTGTGGGAGTAGGTGGGCAGGAGTGTGAATAAATATAAATCCCATCTTAGCAAAAGAAAATATTAATGATTTTCTTGAATGAATTTCAGGGACATTGGAATTGGGCAGACTATTTTGCCAGAATTCATTTCTTTGAAATTTAGAAATTCTTTTCATAAAAGAATTTTTATGAAAAATAACTGAACTTCATTTTGACATATCCTTGAATGTGAGGAAAATAAAACTTCCTCATTCCGTGTTAGTTAAATAAGAAATTTTGAAATACCCTAGATTTGCTGTGATCCATTCACAGTATTTGTAAAGATCAAATCATTATGTTGTCTACCTGAAACTAACAGAATGTTACATATCAATTAGACCCTCAATTTTTTTTTTTTAATGGCAAAAAATTGCTAACATCTAAGCAAAATACAGACTTAAACATCGTGGATTGAGTGAAGGGCTTGTGTTTTTCCTCTTTTTTATTAATATGTTTTATCTTACTGCCTCTGCCATATACTTTATTATATGAGCCTCCACCTTTCTAAGATTGGGAATAATGCTTCTTGTCATGGTTCTTTATAATGTCTATAGAAATGTGTAGAATGGAATCTTAAGTTCTTTATTAAGTGTCTCTTAGGTTGTAAAGTGTTGGTTCTAATGTTTGTTTTTTCTATAAAATCTGGTCAGTCTCAAATGTGAGAGATAAGAAAAAATTTACATATAAAAATCATAAACATGAGGTGAGGCAAGGAGAAAATATTTAACTTAGTCTTATTTTAAGTAGAGTTGTATGTCCCCATTATTAATTGGATTAAAATTTATATTTAGTAACAGCTACTTTAGGTTTGTGAGGATTTAGGAAGAAAGTTGCATAGTTTTTAATGTGAGTTGGGTTATTTGGACAACTCGTATAAATTCCAAGTATTTCCCAGAAATTAGCATTGTGGAGTGATGAAGTGCTTCATTTTAAAAGTGTTAACTATGACTTCTAAACGTTAATACCTTACTTTAGGCAAATCAAAGTGGAAAATAAACACTGCCCCAGTTTTACAGGCTGCTGGTGTAATTCTCAAAAGTTTTTATGTATATAAAGTTGCCTACTATGCAAATAATTCAAATATGTTAATGTTGGTAAGTGATGCATCTCTTCATCTGTATGCATGTGATTAATATAACCTGATCACTATTACGCAAGGGGCTGAAACTGTTGCAACAATGATTAATCATTTCTGAACAATATATGCCTCACTAGAAATCTCTTCCTCTCATGATTAATCATTTCAGATAAAGTTTTCAGAAGGGGCAACACATTTTGCCCCAGTTTCCATTCTTACTCTGTTTTCTAGATCAGGCAGATAGAAAATCAGCATACAGTTTACCTTTATCCAGCAGTTGTCCTTAAATTAATTTAAATTGTTTAATATATAGAACTAATTGTAAAACTCTTAATTCAGTTGTTTTTGTAAAGAAGATCAAAGACATGTTTTAGCAAAACCCTGAGGTAATGAATATTAGCCCAGTTCTTACATTAAATTGTTGGTAGAGCTTGGGGTTTCTAATGAATTATTTTCTCTTTTGAGTGTGCTTATAATATAATATGGTAATAGAAGAATATAATTGTAAAAGACTTAATGTTATTGTTCTCTTTTGATATTCAGCATAATGAGGTACAGTATTGTAGTGGTTGCTTACCTTTTAGGCTAGACAAAATGTATTTCCAAGTTGTAAGTGAAGATAGAAAGCAAAGAAATGGTGTTAATTAACTTGGAACTGCATACTATTTGCTTTCAGATGACAGTTTACATGTAGCTCTTTCTTCACCTTTGCTTTTTTCAACTTCTATTAATTCATATGTATCTCTTTGTCCCTTGAAGTAAGGTTTGTTTATTTTGTATAGACTAAAAAAAATTTTTTAAGTATAACTTGACTTTATTGTGTTCTAAAAACTTAATATTGTATGCAGAATTTATAGAAGCTTGACTTAAACTTTTATATGGCATGCCTGAAGGAAAGAGTGACACTTGAGCTCACCTCTGTCTTTTCACAATTAATCCAAAGTAACAATAACAAACCTTAAATGGCATTTACTATATATTAAGTTATTTAATCTTCTCAACTTAGATTTTTAAAAAAGTAAGGCACAGGGAGCTTGCCTGGCTGTCCAGTGGTTAAGACTCTGCGCTTCCACTGCAGGGGGCACAGGTTCAATCCAAAGGTAAGGCACAGAGAAGATTAAGTAGGGCCACACAGCCAGTTAGGGACAGAGTCCATTCTCTTAAATATTTCAGTCTATTAATTAATCTATTAATTTTTATATTATTAAATACATTAAATTCTTAAACTTACTATACTTTGAAGCATAGTGATAGTTTTGTTCCTTTTAAAAAAAATATTAGCATGAGTTCCCCTCTTAAGACTTGCCCCACTTTTTAACTTAAATAGATTGAACAGTTCCATTTGAAGTGAGCAGTTTTCTAAGGTTATGATATCATGGCTCCCTGTAGCCTCTGTATTGTAAGTGGAAGCATGGCCAAATGGGTGAGAACTTCTTACAGAAATTTACTAGTCCTACTCTTAATTTCATTGCATTTTTGTTTCATTTTTTAATGAATTTGGGGTTTTATTTCCATGAGATGGTATAAATCATAGCTTGTTTCTCTTTGACCCTTTACAAATAATGAATGAACCCTCCCAGCAAAGGGTTTAACCAGTTTAGAGTTTTGTTCTTGTTTTGAGGGGAGCTCAGGCTAGTTCGTATTAATTTAGGTAGAAACATAGTTGATATGCATGCTTAGGTTGAAGGAAAGTTTTGGTTTCAATCATTTCTTGGTGTCACCTTAGACCTGCCAATGGCCAGAGATGGATTTTACTTTATATGTGGAAGTTTTTATTTTTTCTTTGCCACCTTGTTAAGTAACACTTATGGAATATTCATAAGAAAAAATAATGTCCAGATGGAGATGGTACCTACAGATGCTAATTTGGATGGGCACAGATCAGCTCTAATTTGTTTCAGTTGGTAGATTGTTACATTTGTTCTGGGCATTTCAGAAACTTTTTTACCCTTATCATCCTTTCTTTCTCAGTAACAGCAACAAGTGGGAATGGAGACTTTGGTGATTGGAGTGCCTTCAACCAAGCCCCGTCAGTCCCTGTTGCTGCCAGTGGCGAGCTCTTCGGCAGTGCCTCACAGCCAGCTGTAGAGCTTGTCAGTAGCTCACAACCAGCTTTAGGCCCACCTCCAGCTGCCTCAAATTCTTCAGACCTGTTTGATCTTATGGGCTCATCACAGGCAACCATGACATCTTCCCAGAGCATGAATTTCTCCATGATGAGCACCAACACTGTAGGGCTGGGTTTGCCCATGTCAAGATCACAGGTAAGTGACCTGCCTCCCTTGGGAATGGTAATTTATCATTTTTGAGGTGCTGCGATTAATCTAATGGAAGATGAGCATAAAACAGAAAAATAAGTATGGGATACATAAGATTACTTTTGTACATTGCATTTACCTTGTGCCCTTTCCCCTGAAATAATCATTTGGTTCTCCAGGGCAAGGCTTTCTCACCCATCTGGCTGTCCATGCAAAGCCAAGTGTGATGCCTTGCACAGAGGAGGCATTTGCTGAAAATTTTATTGAACAAATAATTGGTATTTAATAGTTTTAAAAAGTTTTCAAGAAGAAGGAATAGAGATATATTGCTAATACAGAAGATTATTCTCTAAAATAATGTTCTCCCCTATTCTGGGCCTCCTATACATAATGTTTAAATAGGCTTTCAGCTCTCATAAAGAAAAACAACTGAATAGAAACTTTTTAATCCACTTCTAAAAATTAAATCTAAATCACCTAATACTCATTTAGAATTAAAACAAGTGCATATTTGTCTGAGTTGTACCAGGAACTTGCTATTTTTGACTCAGGCTATTCAGAATATTTGCTTATGATGCTAATTATTCACTTGAATGTGTAGATTATCTTCTTCAGGGTGTTAGGATGAAGGAAGAGACGGAAGAAACAGAAAGGTGACTGATCTGTATAACAGATATTAGACCTACTATTAAAAACAAAGGACATAAAAGCCATACCAGTACCATTGTACCATTAAATTGAACTGAACAAGCCCAAGCTAGTTTATTCCTTATAGCGTTTCTGTCGTACGGTCTCATCATAAAGCCAGTCTACTTATTTACAATCTTAATTGCATCTGTGTTGTGATTCTTTGCATTGGTCCATTTTAAATTATTCCTCCTACTCCTATTTCTTTCCCTTTTTCTGTTCTTGTTGCAGTTATTCTGGTATAATTACCAAGTATCTCTGCTTCTTTTTCCTGCATTTCTCCTCCTGAATTGGTCCATATTATAGCAAGTTCCACTAGTGTTGCTCACTTTAGGCAATAGAAATGTACATGGAGCAAGGATATGTCAGTTGGGTTTTCTGGAGTATAATTTGCTGTCTTGATAGTTTTGCTTTTTTTTTTTTTCTTTTAGCATGAGAACTTATACCCTGAATTTCATTTTGTAAGAATAAATTTCCACTTGTATATTTCCTTAAAGTTGTACCAACCTGAAGTTAGTAGTTACCTTGAGTTGGTGGCTTCTAGACTTGGGGTGATGGGAGGATAATTGTTAATGTAAATATCTTAGTTTTTCCTCCAAATATGATTTGAACTTCAGGAGGAATATTATGGGAGGCTAGTGGTACAGGAAGGGTATTAAAGACCTTAATATAGAACATTAAAAGTTTCAGAAGTTTATTATGAAGTCTAGTATATATCAGTATTTGGAGTTACTGTGATTAAATTGCCATTTAATAATCTTTATAGATAAGATACTTAATTTTTAGAGCATGTTTCTATTTTCCAGCCTTTGCAAAATGTTAGCACAGTGCTGCAGAAGCCTAATCCTCTCTATAATCAGAATACAGATATGGTCCAGAAGTCAGTCAGCAAAACCCTGCCCTCTACTTGGTCTGACCCCAGTGTAAACATCAGCCTGGACAACTTACTACCTGGTATGCAGCCTTCCAAACCCCAGCAGCCATCACTCAATACCATGATTCAACAACAGAGTAAGTTACTGCAAGACATCCATTTGTTTTTGTATTTGTAATCCTTTGCCCTTATGCCAGGACTACTTCAAAACGTACTGAAGGCAGCCTTGTGTTCACGTTAAGATTTTTTTCACATAAGACCTGGTATCCCTCCTGCCACATTAAATTGCTTTGTATTCTGGTCTTAGCATGATAACACTTATTGTATGATGGTGAGTTTTGGGAGCCTGATCCCTAAAATAAAAAATACTGTTTTTAACATAGGCAGATATGTCAAGGAAACAAAACTCATCTGAACTCCATAATCCAGGGATAATCACCATTAATTGATATTTCTTCACATACCATCTTTGCTAATCGCATTTTTAATGCTTGAGAGCATTATGTCTATACTTTATTTCTTGGAGTTCTTGGAGTTCACATTCAACATTAAATTGTTGTTTTTTCAATGTTGAATATTCTTAAGAAAGTATGATTTTTGAATCTTTATAGTTATGCATCATATTACTGTGCAGTTCCTCTATTTCCATTGTTTCCAGCTTTCTGCTATAAATAACTCCACGATTTTGTGTAAATCTTTGTACCTGTGATTTTTTTCCCTTAGTATGATGTTCTAAAAATAGAGCAAGTCAAAGGATAAAACCTTTTTAAAGGTTTTGATACACAATAGCTCTTGACAACCTGTTAGGTTGGATTCAATAATAGATTTTATAGGAATGATTTTAAATTACCTGATGTTTTCCCCTCAGGCCACTCTTACTGTTTCTACATCTTAGGGAAACCAGAGCTGACAGCCACTGAATATTTCTCAAGAGTAATCAATACAAGTTAATTGACAATTGACTTCTCTTATAAAATCACTATGAAGTAATTTTATTGGGGCTTACAAGTATTGATGGTCAGGAAGATTGTATTATTTTTCTGCTCTATAAATCTAAGAATTCAGAATGGTAAAGTTCTTTTGTCTCTCTTCTTCTGTTAGATATGCAACAGCCTATGAATATGATGACCCAAAGTTTCGGAGCTGTAAACCTCAGTTCTCCATCGAACATGCTTCCTGTCCGGCCTCAAACTAATCCTTTGATGGGGGGACCCATGCCTATGAGCATGCCCAATGTGATGACTGGCACCATGGGAATGGCCCCTCTTGGAAATAGTCCAATGATGAACCAGAGCATGATGGGCATGAATATGAACATAGGGATGTCAACTACAGGGATGGGCCTGACAGGCACAATGGGAATGGGCATGCCCAACTTAGCCATGACTTCTGGAACTGTGCAACCCAAGCAAGATGCCTTTGCAAATTTCGCCAACTTTAGCAAATAAGAGAATATAAAGGAACAGATTGAGTGAAGGATTTTTAGCGGTGTAGATAGGTGATGTTGGGATGGAAAATGCTAATCAATTCCCCTTTCTTTTATCAGTTAATTAAAATAAACCTACATTAAGAGCCAAAAAGGCTGTTTTATAAAAGTGAAATGTCTAGTATTTTAGATGGCCAGGCAAGGGCACTTCAGATAAAGGCAGTCTGAAACATTTTTCCAGTGAGACCACAAATGGGGTAGTGAGATCGTGGAAAGCCTTTATAAATTGAAGAGCCAATTTTAATATCATAATATGTGGGAAGACTAGAATAGGGCTGAATAAACGTGTTTGAATCTCTAGTTTTATACTTTTCTTTTCCTGAAGAACTTGATTTTTCTGTCCCTGAATCACCTTGTCACAATTGGGTCTGTTCCTTTTACTACCACTCTTGAGTCCATATATGAAATCATTAAAGTTGGATGATCAGTTTTTTATAAAAATATATATTTTTGTCCAAAAAAGGCATACATATGTGATTATGGCTAAATCAAAGGTAACTGGAATGTATATACTTTTGCTAATGTTCCAACAACACTGCTATTATACTATCCAAATTTTTATTGTAACAAAACCTCTAAACCTCTTTAAGCAATTGGTAACAGCTATGGGACTTTTCCCATTTCTTCTGCTATAATTATCCTGTGCAGAACTAGAAAAAATATTTTTTGGGGGACTGCTCTATGGTTTCCTTTAAAAGAAAAAAAACCTCCAGTATTTTTGTTTTTAGCAGTCGTTATTTACACTTTGCAGTGATTAACTTGGCAAGACTTCCCTTCCATGTTTATCCCTGTAGCCACTGGAGTAATAGTCAGGAACAGTCAAAAGAGAAAAATATTTATTTTTTTTGGTGTCTTTTAAAAAAAATTGAAAAGGTGAAAATTCATTAAGACCTTAAATATAAATGTAAGAACTCAACAATGTTGGCTTTTAGATTTTATACAGTATTGTTTTGTTTTGGTTTTGAGTGTATATAATATGGCATTAGCAATATGGTTCCAATAGAGGCAAGTTAAATATCTATATTATTAAAGGAGACCTGTAGCAGTCAAAGATTTTATTGACTTAATGCAAATAAAGGAAATTAATTAAAATGTTTTTGTTTTCTTGCTGTAATTCTGCATTAAGCTCACATGAAAATCATGATTCTAGAGTTTGGAATGCAAAATTGTTTCACCCTCAAGCTGGGAATATTTTTTAAAATGAATACTATAATACAGGTATCAAATTATTACCTCCCCACTTTGTGTTGAAATTTTTTAAATTGATGAAACTTTGTTTCCATTGTATTCATAAAGTTCTGTTATACATAACATTAAAATGTTCATTAAAATCAATGTTGAACTGCTTTTTCTTTCATTATGTTAGACATTTGAGACCGTTTGGGGAAAAAATAATTATAATTTGGGTAAAGTAATTTTTATAAATAATTTAAAATTATTTAATGACTTCTCTATTCCTTCCTATCAGACTCTACTGTTAGGAATTAAAAATGAAGCAGCAAAGATATCCTGACCCGCTCCATTTTTGCTAATGTTCCATCTACAACATTTCTAATTAGGCAGAAATTCATGTACTTCTGCTAAGCAGTAATGAAAAGTGATTCATTTGCTGAATAAGAGATGAGAGAGAGTGTAATTAGCTGACTGTGGTTTTTAATCTTTCAACAATTCAATGTGTTTAAATTAGTTTCAAAGAATAGGAGCTTTCAAGTGCTGTTACTTCAGAGCAATCAAACTGGGCTCTGGAAGCAGCATGAAGAGTATCTTCACTGATATTTGAAATCTGTAATCATGAATTTTTTCTTTAAATTGAAAAGTATAGCATCACCTTCTCAAATATATACGGTCCTTAAAAGAAATAGTTTGTTTCTAAACTTTTGTGTTTAAAAAATTTTTTTTAATAAAACTGAGATTTAACTCAAGCATTTTCTGTACTATGGCTTCTTCCAGTGTTGTATTTCTAAAGACAGAAGTGAGCCCCTACCTCAGTTATTACTGTGTCTCAACATACAGTTTGCTGTTTTACTAGTAGTTTTTGTTTCAGAGCCCATGAAAGGAAAACAAAACTTGCCTCATTGGGGTTCCATTCAGTTTATTTTTATTTATCAATTTATCTCTGAATATTTGCTTAATATTTGGGGGAGTGAAGGAGAACTCGTTCTTGTTCTTGGCAGTTTACGTACACTTGTGTGACTCTCCACTGCCATTCCAGACTCACTTTTTTTCCGTATTCAGATGTTTTTTACTTCTCTGTTATGATCTTCAGGAACCATAAATGTATACAGTGTTCTTGTACAGTACTTTGGATGTTTACTTTTTTTAAATTTTAATAAATTGCCTGAATGATATCCATAATTATATTGGTTAGGGGCTAGTCACTAATAAATTGAGGCCTATAGTTACTTATATTTTGGAGGAAAGGGTTAATACTTTTTTTTTCTCAAATATTTATGAAATAGTGAAATAAAGCTAACTGTCCTGAGCACAGAACATACCTTAACAGTGAATAGATTTCTGAAACAAACTGGCTTTGTATGCTCTCCTAGGAGACAGCACTGCACTGTAGAAAGAGCATGGGCTTGGAAGCAGATCTAATCCTATTTCAACCTCTCACTTTCTGTGTGACACCTTGATCAATTCATCTGACTTTTCTGGGCCCTCATATTTTTTTCTAAAATGAACTTAAAATTGGAAAGTGTTGGGTAATTAAATGGTGAGATCAGCAGCACTGGCATATATACTGTAAATGTTTGTAAATGTTTTCTCTGCGTCTCATTTTTATTATTTAAATGTGCTTAAATGTCAGGAACTTCTATGCGCCAGTCACTGTGCCAACCGTTTCACCACATGTCATTTTAACCTATATGTCAAACCCCAAAACTTCATATTCCTAGAATATGAGTGTAGTTAAGGAAACGGCATCCCACTCCAGTATTCTTGCCTGGAGAATGCCATGGACAGAGGAGCCTGGCAGGCTACAGTCCGTGGGGTTACAAAGAGTCGGACACGACTGAGCAACTAACACTTCCACTTTTCAAGAAAGCATGAGAAGGACTTACCCTGGTGGCACAGTGGATAGAATCTGCCTGCCAATGCTGGGGACAACAGTTCAATCCCTGGCCTGGGAGGATTCCACATGCCAGGGAGTGACTCGATTGGTACCGCACAGTTCCTGAGCCTGCACTCAAGCACAGAAGCTTCAACTACTGAGCCTGTGTGCTGCAGCTACGGAAACCCACGCTCGAGTCTGTGCTCAACGAGAAGCCACCTCAATGAAAAGCCGACATAGAACAACGAAGATCCAGTACAACCAAAAATAAAAATTAAAGCCTGAGAGACCAAGTTGATTTCTGAGGATTTTCCTATTTGCCTGCATTTAATTCTTTTTAACAAGAAAATTGTAAATGAGCTGTTTTGTTAATGTATTGACTCCTACTTAACTGCATTAGTGCAGAGATCTCAACTTTTCTACTGACTATTTGCAATTTTGTTGACTAAGATCTTATTATTCTTCGAACACCCAGAGAAGCAATCTGATATAAAGACTTAAAAAAAAAAACATAGAAGAATTTTGTGTGTACTTTTACCTCATTATAACTTTAATTCTTAAGTGTCTTCCTCCTATTATAGTGGCAACCTTGCTAATGCACTGTTTTCATAGGCATAAGTAACTCCTGGCACCCTGTCACACTGCCCTGGCTTACCCCAGTACGTGGGGAATCAGCATGCAGCCAATTCAAATGTTTATAGTTTCCCAGGGACTTGGGATGGATGGATTTGAAAGTTCTGATTGGCAAACATAATTCAATAAAGTGTCATTACATTAAATAATGGAGTCCTGGACTATGGAACCTTATATTTCCATTTGATTTTCTTAACTGTCCATCTTGCATCTATTCTTTATATGCTCCAAGGACATTCTTTTTGAGATAAAAGTGCTTACAGTTGGTGTATAGAGTAGCTTGACCTCAGGACACCTTTAATGCCATTAATGAATGAAGACCCCAAAGAGCTTTTGTTTATGTGGGTCATATCTAATGATATTAACTATATTTGAAATAAAACTGAGAAACTTTAGGGACTTTGCTGGTGGCACAGTAAGAATCCACCTGCCAATGCAGGGGGCATGTGTTCCATCCCTGGTCTGGGAAGATCCCACATGCAATTAAGCCCCTGAGTCACAACTACTGAGCCTGTGCTCTAAAGCCCATGAGCCACAACTATGGAAGCCCGCATGCCCTAGAGCCCACACAGCGCAACTACTGAGCCCACGTGCCGCAAAAGCCCTGCTCTGCAACAAGAGAAGCCAACAGTGAAAAGTCTGCGCACCTCAACAAAGAGTAGCTCCCAGGCACCAAGCTAGAGAAAGCCCACACGCAGCTATGAAGACCCAGCTGAGCCAAAAATAGATACAAATAAAATATTTCTTAAAAACATTTTTTAAAAACTGAGAAACCTTTAAAAACATCAATTGGTTTCACAGTAACAAGCCCATTATCTGCCAAATTACACTTTTATTGAAAAATATGTTTTTCAAAATAAAATTTGTGGGAGAGTGGCATTGTTTTTACATTTCTCTTTATTACCTGGCTTAATGAAACAGCTGGATTCTCTTACCTGCTTCTGCATTCAGTCTGTTACACCATGTTGATTTGGTGGAAATACACGAAAAAAATCCAGCCTCAGGAATAAGTGGTTGGAAAAGGTGGAACCTCATAGGTCCCCTGAATGGGTCTCAGGGCTTTCCAGTGGTCCTCTGGCCACACTTGGGAACTGCTGCTATCTGTTGAGAATTAATAGGTATTTCCTGGTAACTATGTATCCATTTACTTGATTTATTCTAAGGTGATCTGCTTGAGGTACAAAGAATTTAGTTTTGCCTTTCACTTTAGTCACAAGTAAAATGCTTGTCATGAAATTGCTCTCTGGACCCTGAATATTAAAAATTGGTGACACCAGAGCTTTTGCTCAGATTTTTAGATTATTTCTTCTGATACATAGTTTATATTTACTAGCTTCTTATAATTATGAAGAAGTAAGTTTCTTACCCAACCTATGTTTTTTAGGAAAGCTTAGACTGAGAGACTGAGTGTTGAGTGCTTAGTGAATTATGAAACTTTTGAGCCTTCTTTCAAGGTTCAACCATCCTTTGAGAAGAAAGAGTAAAATGGGTCAAAGCTGAAGGTCTCTGAGTTGATCTTTTGTGTCTGGTAATTTATAAACCAGTTTTATTGGACTGTATTTTCTAAAATGTAGCTAAAGTATTAGGTAGTAGACTGTGTTCAAGTACTCCTAGATTTTTTTTTCATGATATTTCACTTAGACTCATTAAAAATTAAATCAAAGAAAACAGTCCCAAAACAGTCATGATAGAACTGTAGAAAGTCCAAACCCATCCAGCTGGGAAACAAGACTGCAATATGATAATGAGCCACTTAACCAGAGAACGACTACCCACATTTTCTTCCATATGTTTATTCATGGAGAGATCTGAAGAATAATGAGAGGGAGGCAGCCCTATGAACTACACATGTGAAAACTCCAAGTAGACAAGTAACATCAGAAGTTTAGAAGGGTGTATCTAGAGCTCCATATAAAAGGAGAGGGATTGGGGAGATAAGCAAGGACATGGTGACAGGTGCTTTGGGCCATCTATCTACCTGTCAAGTTATCTATGACATTTTTCATAGAACTAGAAAAAAATCCTAAAATTCATATGGAACCACAAAAGACCCAGAATTGCCAAAGCAATCCTGAAGAAAAAGAACAAAGCAGGAGGCATAACCTTCCCAGACTTCAGACTACTCAAAACTACAGTAATCAAAACAACATGATATTGGCAGGAAAATAGACATATGGATCAATGGAACAGAATAGAGAGCCCACAAATAAACCTACATACCTACCGTCAATTAATCTTCAACAAACGAGGCAATAGGAAAAAGTCTCTTTGGCAAGTGGTGTTGGGGAAGCTGGACAGCCACATGTAAATCAATGAATTTAGAGCACACCCTCTCACCACACAAAAACAAACTCAAAATGGCTTAAAGACTTAAACATAAGAAGAGAACACAGGCAAAATATTCTCTGACATTAACGGCACCAATATTTTCTTCGGTAAATCTCCCAAGGCAAGGCAATAGAAAAACAAACAAAAATGGGACCTAATCAAACTTGCAAGGTTTTCAGCAGCAAGGGAAACCATAAACAAAAAGAGAACCTACAGAATGGGAGAAAATATTAGAAAGTGATGTTGACAGATAAGGGCTTAATTTTCAAAATATACAAACAGCTCATACAACTCAACAACAAAGAAAACAACCAATATAAAAAAAGAAAAAAAGAAAACAACCAATATAAAAATGGGCAGAAGACCTAAATAGACATTTCTCCAGAAAAGAAATACAGATGGCCAAGAGACTCATGAAAAGATGCTCAACATGGCTAATTATTAGAGAGATGCAAACCAAAACTATGATGAGGTACCACCTCACACTGATCAGAATGGCTGCCATTAAAAACTCTACAAATAACAAATGCTGGGTATGAAGGGTATGAAGGGTATGAAGATAAGGAAACCCTCCTACACTGTTGGTGGGAAGGTAAGTTGGTGCAGTCACTGTGAAAAACAGTATGGAGGTTCCTCAGAAAACTAAATAGAATTACCATATGATCCAGCAATCCCACTCCTGGGCATATATCTAGACAAATATATAATTCAAAAAGATATACACACCCTTATGTTCATAACAGCACCATTCACAACAGCCAAGATATGGATATCCATCAACAGATGAATGGGTAAAGAAGATGTGGTATATATAAATATATGTGTGTATATATACACATATATAATGGAATATCACTCAGCCATAAAA